CGTCGGCGACGTAACCTCCCGTCCCACCACTTGTTCACCAAATGAAAACGGTTTCACTTTGGCATTACTAAGAGTAAAAGCAATAAAGATAAAGTTTAAGAAAGGTTTTCCACCTTTTTCCGCTTTGGTTTTCAAACTTTGTTGTATCTTGTACAGAGACATAAAATAGGTTGCAACAATGGAACTACGTGTAGACAATTGGATGGAACATAATAAATATAATTATGTGTGACGGATTAAGAATACGGAGTGTAACCACACCTATTCATCCCTTGGGTGTCGTAAGAGCTGACTAAGGAAACAAACTATGCAGGACAACAGCATTGCAAAGAGAAGGAAAGCTTGACATAAACCCACCAACCCGTCTGGCCAGCGTTGTACAGTAGGCCAAAACCTCCTTTCTAAGGAGAGGCCTATGTATAGCAGTGGACAACTAAATGCTGTTGATGTGATAATGATATATACCTTTTTTTGTCTCTGTATTTATTTTTTTCTATGATAGTGTGCCTGCTAGGTGGAGTAAAGGGTTATTACTTTTAACATTTCCAAACTTATTTACCTTTTCTAATCCGTCCGACACCGACGTACGAGTATTTTATATAAGTGCCAAAAGTAATTTTTGGCACTTATAATTATAAAATACGTCGGTGTAAAACTGAAAACATATCTAACGCATGATTACGAAAACCTTTTTAAATTAGGTAACCTTTTAAACTAGTATATTATAACATTACAAAGTCACATCTAAATGTGCTCATATCACATTTACATTTTAATTTGCTTATTTTTTAACCATGCGACTAAATCAACTTTAGAACTTGTTCGGAACATTGATTTAATTTGGTTTATTCACGCGTTAACTACCTATTACGCTTGAGTCAGTTTTTTATACAAAACAAGCCAATTATAACAACAAACATAAAAAATAACAAAAAACAAAAATAATAAAAAACAGATATAACAAAAAAAAACCGACTACGCGAAAAGTATTGGCGATTTTAGTTATAATAATAAAAAAGTATGTGTGTGTAATTCACACACGGCAGAAGTGAACCTTCCAAAAAAAAACTCAGAAAAACCATATAAAATTTTTCCGGGCCTGGAATCGAACCCATTAAGGCAGCGTTTTTCAAATTCCCCTCGAACGAAGTCGCAGATACTATTATATAAAAAATAATGTGTAATGTATACTATCTCATTCTTTCGCCGACTTAATCCTATACATTTATGTGGTTGTTCCTATATCGTGACGCATTTTCGTTTCATCGAGTTTCAAATAACGATTTTAAAAAAGTTTCACTTCAGAAATTGATATTTAGAAGTAATTTTTTATATACACAGCTTTTAAAGTAAATAACTATATATTAAATGCCGCATTTATAGCCTATAGTTTGGTTTACTTGTTTGTCAAATGGTATGTCAAACATAATTTGTGTAATCACCTAAATATTAAGTGATATGTAATAACATAGGTCAGTCGTAACGTTAATTGACAAAGTTTTAATCTCGTCGCAAAATCTTAAAATTGATGACTTCATAATATTCGTATTTCGTGAAAAGGTCGATTAAACAACTAAAGAAAAGTACATGTTAAAATGTTAATGCTACAACTCATAGGTAATATAAAAGTGCCTTCTTTATATATAGATATTTAAATCCTTTTTAGAGCCTACGTTCATGATATGGCCTAAAGTGTATACATATCAATCAACGTTGACATTGTCACGATTTTGTCAGACTCAGCTACGTGTTTTCTAAAATTTGAATATTCGTTAAAAGGTCGAAGCTCTTCAATAAGTGATCAATTTTTAGAATTGGCCGCAACTGATGTTGGTATTTGTTATAGTTTCTTTACTTAATCGTCTCCGCTAAGTAGTACAACAAATAAAATAGGAACTAACGTTTAAAGTATTACATTTAAAATACATTTTAAGCGGGTTTTCTATGAAGAATTATTTTACCATTACTTTAAGATGCTTATATACACACTACAATTTCCAAAAACACAAACATATATACCATAAATATAACCATAAATTTGTCTAGGTAATTTATTTAAACTACAGGATTTCCACTAGAAGTAGGATATGGAATATTATTATTAGAATATGAGTGTGATAAAACTACTGTTTCGTGTTCAGATACTATTTAATTACTCTTCTTGTTAGTAAATTGTGTTAGTATTTATAGTCTCATAGTGTGTGAGCTAACATCTATACACACATACAAACAGAGATTTAGCTGACTAGTAAAAATATGAACGAAATAACAAATAAGGAAATTGAGGTGGCATACATAGTTGTAACAAAAACTCATAATAATGTGCTAACATGAGTATAAATTATTGAAAAACTATAATTGAGAACCAGCAACATATTATATATTTAAATGCAACTTACGGTAATTAGTTATATAGTTAAGATAATGTTTTAAAAATATAAACAATAAAATCTGCGTATTTTCAGAATCGCATCTGATCGGCATCCGTTGAAGTTGAATTCTAACTTCATTCTTTCCCTAAAACTTTTTATATACAAATAAAATTTGATACAAACATTTAAGATTACATTTCATGTGAAATTTATTATTACAAATAAAATAACAGTAGTGCAAAAATGAAGGAGTTGGCAAACAAGATTTTCACTTTAATCAATTAAAATAATATTACTACACCTATAATACTGATATAATACCTAACAATTTAAACATATAGATTTATTTTAAAGCATATGTCAAAAAACTCCACTGCATCGTCGCCTACAATATCAATAATAATACTGAAGATTCATTGTCACATTGAAAGGCAATACAAATTCTCCGTGCTGGTCCGCCTTCTGTTCACAAGTTGCCTAGCCCTCATGACCCTAGGAACTTTATATGGCTCAAAACATATACAAAGATGTAAAAACCTATAAATAGTAAATATGTTTATCTATACTGTGTAAATCCTGTTATCTATGTTCTTAATACATTTGAAATTTTTCCTTGTTTCAGTCTTAATAAATCATCTAATTTTAATGATCGGTGATTTTACAAGGCGAAACTTACAAAGGCACTTGGAATTGTCTATTAAAAGAACTAAATAAGAAAGTATGAGACCTATCTATAGGCCAAAAATTTCTTAAAAATGTAGATCTAAAATACTTACATCTAAAAACATTAAAATGCGTTTCTGTCTGAAGTTGTTAGATATTAAAAAGGCATACAAATGCAAATACCTTACACTCGTATCGTTTCTGCAATATAAAGAAAAATGAGCTCAGGGCACTTATCGCTTTATTTATTTCCGTTATCCAAATTTAATGTGAGCTGTCGGAAGGAGTTATCTTATTGATGATAACTTTGAGTATTATAAAAAAAAACAGAACTGGAAATGAATTGGCCACGTTTAAATTAACTTTCTTTTAATCATGTGACTATGACGATATGGAAATAAATTTTATCTATTTCACCCTCGTTAGCTTAGGTACATTTAAACCAATGCGAAGATACTTTCTTTTAAATTCTAAAAAAAGAAAACACAAAACAGTTTATGTATTTATTTATTTGTTAGTGCCTTCTTAAAAATATCTTTAGGATTTTTTCATGGAGGTCATGAAAAGTTAGAATTTAGGAAATGAGAGAAGTTCGTTACCCGTAAGCAATAAAAAATATTTAATATTTGAGAGCGAACTCAATTATGAGTTACAGTGCCGAAGCGTGAGTCTAGTTTACTACTATTAGACTTGATGTTATCCGCAACATCTACATTTAGAAAAATAATTGCTATAATACTTTTTATTAGTTTCAAATTTCAATAATCAGAATTGCTACATCACGAAAAACTTGCATGTTTTAATAGAAATAATAAGTTAATTCTAATTTCTTCCTATTTATTCCTTTTCTACTTTATTTATTTTCTAGTTTTTTCTTATAATAATCATTTTTTATACAGGCTTGGGTTATTAGACTGTACTTAATAATTATTAAATTTGACTGGTACTATTTAAAATAGTAAACTAGACGCCTTAGAACCTCCTTTCCAAGGAGAGGGCTATGTCCAGCAGTGGACTATTAAAGGCTGTTGATGGAAGTGGAAGCCGTAAGAAGCCAAATTGTTCTTGTAACATCATCATAAAAATAATAGTTTAAGTTTAACAGTTTTTTAACAGTCCAACATGGGCGTAACGTGACAGTAAAAAGTATTTAACTCAACCTAATAACAAAAATATGAAAATAAGCTAAATTTGGAGCTTGTTTTCATATTGTTACTGTTTTGTTTATCATACTGAATTGTAAAATGTGTTTAAAAAGTAATATAATAATAATAATATAGTTTATTTTCAGATTATAAATCCCTAGTACATAGTAAAAATTAGTGATGTCGGAAATTTCAGCATTAGAAAATAAAATTACTAAACTATAATTATATAACATTTAAATATTAATTACTTCTATTTTATTATCCTTTGCGGGCAAATTAGAAATTGTCCTTTAGGTACTGAATTTATATAGTATGTTAATAATCTATTATAATGATGAAATACATAATATAAAACGAAATTACTCCTTGTAACTTATCTGAGTTTTTTTTATATAAATGGGAACTATTCCTTTTACGAATAACTATTTCATTTATTCAGACGCAAATACTGTAACCAAATAAATTATAAAGTTTTTTTTTAAATACAGACAAGGTATCAAGATGCTGTTAATTGAATATTAGATTCATTACTATTAACATTAGCATGTTTAGTTATTTAACCCACTGTTTATCATAACAACATAATAGACTGTGAATCTATAAATTACGTTATATTTTGCTGTCAGTAATACGTAAAAAAATTAATCATCTACGAAGACGCTACGGTCCATCGTAGCAGTATCGGCCGCTACGTGCGTCAAATAGTTTTGTAGTATTTAATACTATTATAAGATCTCAAGGTTACTTTTACTTGAGCAAAAGTAGATTTGTGAGCCGTCGGTAAAATTTACCTATGGCAACTTTAAATAGTACTTACGTTGTAAATTCATGGAGGGTGGAAATATGTGGTGATTCCTCATGGCAGCATCCTGTGGTCTCGCGCACTGTGGCGGTGGTGGCTGGTACCGCATACCCTGGTATCTATAAGCCGCCTGAGACATCTGACCGCATGACGCCAGCTCTCCCCAAGACAGTTCACCGCCGCCCGAACCAAGACAACCTCCCTCGAAACCACCGCCGGCGCCGCTCAGGTACCCGTACTCCATGCTGTCAGCGAACAGCGGCTATCTAACCAGTTCACTACCTGACATGTGCCCGAACCGGACCCGTAATTAATATATAGTTTAAAACAATAACAAAGTGGCGAAAGCGCCGCGCCGCGCGGGGCGCGTGCGTCTTGTGTCGTAGGGCACCGCGCGAAGGCTCACAGCCGCATAATTGGATGAGCCGCGACTATATCGAATTATGCCGATTACAGATGGTATCGGATCCCTGTGATAGTTTTTGCCGGCACGGAGGACCGTGCGCTTGCCCCACTTGAAATCGAATGATAAGCCTAATTCAATAAGGACGATCCTCGAGGACGGGGCGGGGCGCGCACCCCCGGTGGCAGACCAATGGTCGCGGCTCGTGGCGCCACCGCTGCACTCCATTGGCTGGGAGCTACCCCCTCTCCGCGCCGCGACTCGGGGGTGCGTGTCACGACACTTGTCTACTTTTCTTTTCGCCGACAGTTCCTTTGTCATTGAGGAAAATAAAAAAGTTGTAATTAACGATCCAGGTAGGTACCTACTTAACGAATTAGTCGAGCTATCTCGATTTCTTCGCATTATGCTATTAATTAAAGTTGTTGTAATATGTAAAAGAAAGTATTTCTTAAGAAACCTCTTATTAAATTAGTGTACATGAAAACAGTAAATGCTAAGTTAACCTTATTCAATTTATTGAAAATAAAAGTTATAATTAACCAAAAAAAAAGCGTATAGAACATCTCGGTTTTTTTTAACAATGAACCGCTGTTTCGACAAAAGTCAAAGTAAAGTCATCGAAATGTAACATCACAAAGTAATATTTATTCTAAATATGCAAATACGTTTCCCATTTCAATTAAAAAAAAACTTACCCTATACTTAACAATCTCTATAAAAGTGTTACAAAAGTAATGTCATTTTAAAACAAAGTAAGTACAAATAAATATGAAGTTCCAACAATCTGTAACTCAGGCTCGTAATAAAACGGAATCATTTCATTTAGTTTGGGTTCTCGGGGGATAACTCGATAACTGATAAAAGTACTTTATGGGAGATTCTCGCAGCCTCTAAGATCTCGCACCCGACGACTGTGTTCTATGAATAAGTAACAACACAAATTGTAATTTAGCATTCTAAAGAAAATAAGGCAAGTTTAGAATTTAATAACCGAAAAATGTTTATCAAAATTTGTAAAAATAAAATATATTTGTTTTGAGTTATTTTTATATTATTATATTAATGAGACATAAAAATCTTATACAGTTCACAGTCACAATACATTTTAGTTCTATTTATAATCAAGTTATAAATAGAACTAAAATGTATTGTGATTTTGTTTTTTAATTAAAAATAAATGTAGTTACTATGGATATTGATAATGGTTTCCCTTTATAGTTAGTAAAAATTAAATACCCTAACAACAATTAGATACAGTCAGGAAAAATAATTTAGTTGCCATATTTTCACAAAATCAGCTAAATCTAAAACCATTAAACATAAATGCTGCAAGAAAAATATTTATATAAAAATAGAAACCTGAAAAAAAAACAGATATAGAATTTAATAGGTAATTACGTATACGGTACGTAAGTAAAAATTTGTAAGTAGTCAATCATATATTTTGGTTTATTTTTTGCATGTGCATTGCTGTGTCCATCCAAGTAATTTTGTTAAACTCAAACATCTTTATTTCATAAAATTATTTGAAATCGTCTCTTGTGTAGACTCTAAAGTCATAGATCACCACACACAATAGCAACAATCTCTGTTTTGTCAAATATTTAGCAAACTTAATATATACGTATCGAAAATATCTTTTATGCTTGTGCCCATCTACAACCACCCATTTTTAAGGGTTGAGCCTCATGAGAAGAAAGGCCAAACAAAGTCTAAGGTGATATATCTTTCTAGAAAGACCGCGCAAAGCATTTTCATTGTTTTAACTGAGTGAGTGAGGTGAGTGCAAATCACCCTCCTCCTGATTCTAGGGGGAGGGATTAATAGGGCAGCAACGAATTTGTGACTCTTGAGTTGCACGTGTCCCCAGACGGTGGTAGTCAAAACAGGTGATCTCTGTGCTCATTGGCCCCTACGTCATAAAAAAACCGGTCAGGTACGAGTCCAACTCGTGCGCCGAGGGTTCCGTACCTACCCAGATTTTACGTAGATTTTTCACAAGTAAAGAGAAAATTCTGAAAAATTAAATAGTTGAAAATTAAGATAAATTTTTGTTTTGGAAAATCGAAATTTGAACATATCTTTTTATCGTGTTGACTCAAGACCTTGATTTTTATACACCTAATAGGGGCCATAGACCTCAGTATCTGATATAAATTTCAACTTGCATAAAGGTCTACACGTTCCTGAGAAAATCGGTGGTGACACACGGACAGACGGACAAGAAAGTGATCTTATAAGGGTTCCTTTTTTACCTTTTGAGGTACGGAACTCTAAATAAACAGTGGCACTCCGGGAGTGCCGACAGAAGTAAAAACTAATATACAGAAGTGTCGGTAACGGTAACAGTGCCGCGAGTTCAATTGTCAGGCATATTGACAAATGATGTTTGTTAATGTGCTCCAAAACTGTAACTGTACATCCTATTGAATAGATCTATGACGTAGTATAAATTGCTATCTAGAAATTACACGGCCCCTCGTGCATATTATGTATAATGTGCTGTGTTTAAGCTAAGTGTAAATTTAAGAATTGAAGTAAATAAAGATTATTATTATTATTGTTTTTCCCATCTCAAAAAATGCCCAACACGCCTAAAGAAGTCTTCACTTCAACAGAGGTATCGATAACAGGAAATATTGAGACCTTCATAATATATAGATTCTAATAATTAATTATAACTGATTGGTAAGCAAGAGTTCACAAATTTACTTAATCTGAAACAATCAGGATTGGCCATCAGTAACTATTTAAATACAATTTATTCTTAAACAAGCTTCTACTTCTACATTTTCCAAATGTTTGATGATTGAGGAATCGGTGAGCAATTAGATATCTAGTATTGCTGCCTCTGACACTGGCACCGACTTAATATCTTACCTTTAGTTTGTGTGACACATACACATAAATTAAATGTCTTGTTTTCATGTTTTAATCATTTCATATCATTTCATTAAAAATAAAGATCTGTTTTCACAAATGAATGAGCTCGTCTGTGTCTCCGAAGTACTTTACATACAGATAACTGTCAATAAAATTAGAATCCTCATAGTAACTTCGGGAAGAACAAAAAGAAAGTAACAAGTGAGTAAGCTGTAGCGAGCAAGCATTCCGTCCATATCTTGATCTTATTACATTTTTAAAGAAATTTCATCAAATATGTTTCAAGCGCATAGGTAAGTATTCCTGTAGATTTAATTAGGCTAAAATGTTTTAAAACAAGATTAGGATGACTTTAATTGAAAAACGTAACCTCTTGATCAAAAATCAATCATTTTATCCTTTATATAGAAAAAAAATTGAGGTGACTCAATCTAATTGAGTTGCCCCTTTTTTATCTTGATTATTTAATTAGTTACCCTTAACTAATTTCTAAATCGAATGCAATTTTATCAAAGTGTAACTTAGAAACGGCTAGTGTTACAGTACGGTATTTTTCGTATGTACTCGTATGTACGTGTGTACTTTTTTTAACTTGTAAAAAATAATTGAACAGATTTATACGCCCATCATACTTTATATAAGTTGCAACTATTTTATTCCTACTAAACTTATACTTATACGACATAAATTGTCACTAATACTCACATAGCAAAGTCTCACCAGCAGCAAGCCAGCGGGTGGCAAACTGGCAAGTGCACAGGGGTATTCGGTGCGTGTGAGAAAATGACGCGTATAATATTTACAATATTGAAATTACAACGGAGATTCCCCCGGGACAGCGCACGCGTCCGCGCCCGCTTCGTGCGACATTGTATCCACCACTTTATTTATTATTTATATTAATTACACTGTTGTAAAGCGTTTTTTTTTTGTTATTTTGTTTTATGCTTTGCCTTTCTGGTCCACTAGTTCATTTGGTTTCCTATTTGATTTGATTGCTTATTAAGCGAACTAAAGAAATATTACACAAATACAAATACCAAATGGTCCGTTTGCCTTTTTAGAATGATTTTTATCTAATAACATAGATTGTTACTAGCCCACAGTATTACCAATTTCGTTTAATCACTTATTAAAACTTATTATCCAGAAACTTGACTTTGACTTATATAATACTATTCGCCAGCAAGAAAGTCAGTAATCGCGGTAAAAAGTAAAATATGTAGCACAACAACAAACAAAAAAACTTACTTTCACATTTATAATATAAGTATGTATTAAAATTTGTAAACATTACAATTGACAGATATTATTACCAGACTCACATCCAATTTGATATCTACTATAATCATTTCTTTTTAACAAGACAACAGTTATCCCCTTATACATGAAACGGACACAGCGAACACCCAGACTCGAAACAACAAGTTGTGGATCACCAAGGTGTTGTTCCGTGTAGGGATCGAACCCACAACATTCAGCGCAATAGAAAGCGGCGTGGCGACCGCTTAGATCACTACGCCATCCTTGCTGTCTACTTTTTATTTATGCTATCCAACGTACGTAAGCAAGTCATTTCGATGTCTGGCCATCAGGATCATAAGGCACGCACGATCTTCTTTGAGGCGGCGAGTCTCCTGGCCGGAACTCCACCGTGGGACCTGGAGCCGGGCACGCCGTCATCGCGGCGGTAAGACCCGTTATGGAGGATTGGCTCGAGAGGCGTCACGGGACCCTCTCATACCGACTGACGCAGGTGATCACTGGGAAAGGATGTTTCGGGGATCACCTGTGTCTGATCCGCAAGGAACCAACGCCTGAGTGCCACCACTGCGATGGCCAGACCGTGGACACGGCTCTCCACACGCTGGCAGAGTGCCCGGCGTGGGTTGAGCAGAGGCGAGACCTCGTGGCAGCCATCGGAGCAGGAGTTCTCTCGCTCGATATCCTGATTGCGGCTATCGTGCGGAGCGAGAGTGCGTGGAACTCTGCCGTCTCCTTCTTCCGGGGTGGCGGCGAGCGCGTTGCGAAGCGCGCTCGCTTCCAGGGAGCAGAGGAAACATGGGGTTCCCACACGGGAGGGTCGTCTACTCGTCTGTAGAGGTATGTCGGGGCACCAGGGACTTCCTTTCTAGGGTATACCTGGTTCCCCGGCTATTAGTACCCGAGACGGCGTGCGGGGTATTAGTCGGTTCGAGTCCGACATGCCACCGATAGGTGATATCCGAGGGGATTTCAGCATGGAAAAAAAAAAAAAAAAAAAGGTGTACGATTCTACAATTAAATGCCACACATATTCCATGAATTAGGTTTTAACCAATTTAAGTCCATAGTAAAACAAAAACTATGTGAAAAGGCTTACTGACTACACGGCTACAGATTACTTAGATAATTTGTTTGGGATTCGATTCCCACCCACCCAAGTGTACGATCAT